TTGAAAACGGTGTGCCTCACGCGGAGAATGACCTCCCAGATTCTCGGCGAGAAAAGCTCTGCTCCGGTAGAGTGAACTAGAAACGGCAAGCTCCGGCACTTCCGAACGCTCGTTTGCCTCAGGACCTCCTCTATACTTAGGACCACGTCACCCGGAGTGCGCCTATGTGGAGCGCTCTCTCCTCGTGCTGCCGATATAGTTTCGAGCCACCCCACTGGATGGCGCCATTACTCAGCTGTTGAATGAGTGTTAGAAACGCTTAGAATAGTGGGCATGTTCCTCTCCGGCGCGGTTGCAATGTTTACGAACGGTTTGCTTTTTTCCCATTTTTTTATACGAATTTACCGAATGAGGACACTGCCCTTAAAGCACCCCTCAAAGGGAAACTGAAGCGCTTTTGTGGTTTAGGAAAAAACACTAAAATCGTCTTCATTTGCCCACATGATCCCGAATATCGATATTTATTTCCAATTTGATGCACCCAGGCTGCTGAAGATCTTTTTCAAAGTACCCCTGAAAGCCGCCCCCCCCCCCCCCTTTTTTTTTTTTCGCGGAAGTGACGTCATATCAGGAATCTTCGCTCTCGCGCAACTTCAGCGCCTATCTAAGCTATGCACGCGCACCCTTGCTTGTATTAATAGGTACAAAAAAAAAAAGACGTGACTGCTGATGTTAGTGAGGGGGAACATACCTGGCAAACTAGCAACTTCACGCGTTGCACGCACGAGCGACAGAACTGGTCGGAGTTTTTGTTTTTTTGTGTTTTCCCGCGTACAGTCACATCTTCGTGGAAAACGATTAAATTCAGATTCACGCGAAAGAACTTCGCTAAAATGAGTTCCTATGTATTTTTAAAGAACTCTTTCAGCTTCTTTCTAAGAAAATTAGGCAATTTTCTAAGAAAGTAGGCAAGATAACAGCACCTAAACGAAGTTACATTTTACTCTATAAGGTGTCCTAAAAACTCGCCTAAATAAGCGAACGAACACACTGCCATGGAACGTTTCACATCGGTGTCTTCAGATCGTGCATTCATCGCACTTAAATGTCGTGAACGCAGATTTCTAGAAAAATTTTAAAAACAAACTTTTTTTTTTTTTTTTTTCTAATCGCGTTACAAAACTGGAAGCTAAACATCGGATAGACGCTGCTACTCGTTTAGGGAACCACACACGCTGGGAGCCTCTGGACCTGTTTTAGCGTTCTAATCTCTAAGAGAAATTTGTTTTTGCATCATACGGTGCCATATGTGAGTAGCAGCGAGAGCCCAACGGTTTAATGCAGTTTTCCTAGCGCACACAGGGAAAAAAAAGTTTTTATTTTCTTGCATGTTTACCCAAAAGCCGAAACTCCGAAATGTTGACCATGAGCAACGTAGCCCTAAAAAGCAATCCTGTGAAAAGTTCAGTCTTGCTCTGTTCTCTGGTCATTTCATAAATCTTGTGCGTGCGCAGCAGAGACGAGGACGAAGGGAGGACAGAATACAAGCGAGGCGCACCTTCCAGTTCTGAAATGCGCCTCGTTTCTGCCCTGTGCTTCCTTCGTCCTCGTCTGTGCAGCGCACTCCAAACCTTTATGTTATTTATATACAAATCGCTTACGCCCGAATCGTCTCGAGAGCAGGCTGTAGAGTGAGAGATGAAACTGAAAAAAAAAAAACGCCTATCTAAGCTCGTGTAGAATCCAAATTTTGTGAAACCAATGTTTCAGAGATTCTGTAATGAAAAAAAAAATGTTCACCTACAGTAATGTTTGGAGGTGGGCTAGTCGGTGATGCATTGTAAACATGGAAATAAAACAGCGCAAACGAACACAAGGACAAGTAGAAGAAGGGACACAGACACAGCGCTGACTCACGACTTACTTTCTTTCTCATCTTTTTAAAACATATCAACATAAAAAAACAAGAAATGAAAAATAAAAGAAGAAGAATCCAGCATGTAGGACATCCTCTCTGTCATATGCCATCTGAGGAATTTTTTACACAAACTATACATTATATACCATTAAAAAAAATAAAAAATTAAAAAAAGCCAAAAACCACAGCGCGAGCCCTAATGCTCTGTGCGTACCTGTCTTGCACGCGGACTCTTGGTATGTCGGAACCCTTTTCTGGCTGCATGTAGGCACGCGCCTGTGGTTATAGGATCACTCCCATGGAAGCAGAAAGAAAGTATTAAAGAAACGTGCCCAAACTCCGAAGAAACTCGCACTCTTCACTGTATAACGTCACTGACTCTGAACTGACGCATAGATCGGGACCGTGTTGTCGAATGTAAAACGCTTCATGAATTTCCCTTGCCATCTTTTGTGAATGTTTAGCCAAAATTTCAATGTCAACTAACCGAGGGGAACAACCAGACCTATCACAATGAATGGCTAGGTGACCCGAAGGTGAAGACCTCAAAGACAGATAATGCTCTCGAGCTCGAACATTAATACATCTGCCCGTCTGTCCAATATACACTTTACCACATGAAAAGGGTATTTTATAAACGACCCCGACAGCACAAGCTACATATTTGATGCGATGGTTTATTCCACACCCTACACGCTGAAGTCCTGCGCTCTCAATGGACGCACGCAAACGGGATAGCTTGGAAGGTGCTGAAAAGACTATGGGAACTCCGTATTTAACAGCCACTTTTTTGATCCTGTAGCAGACGGTTCACACCCATGGCATGTATGAGCAGACTTCGTGAGGCACCACTTCTTCGTGGAAAAGGCACAAAACATTTTTATAACCTTTCTATTATATAACGGAACGTTTTGAGAAATTGCCGTCTTTTCCCAACGGCACACTGATCGTTCCGCCACGCGTAGAATATTTTCGCAGTAAGGAAACCACGGTTCACTTTTCTCCCCAGCACACAATATGTTTGTAATAAGTGCCATGAACGGAGGATGCAACGTTACTGGAGCAAACTCAGTTTCGCAGATGCCTATTAACGCCTGCAGAGACGAGTGGCCCAAGTGGCGGTTACGAGAACTAGCGGCGCTGCAGTCGAATGTTGCTTCCCTGTCTCACGCGTTGTCTGCTACCACTGCGTTGAGAGCTTACTTTTTTTTCTTTCTGTTTTTTTTTCTCCTTCCATGTATATAATAGCAAAAAAAAAAGATGAAGATGAAGTGTAATACACCACAGAGATCAAAGTCAGCGCATTGTGAGTGTTCTTTTTTTTATTTTTGTGTACGTCTGCTTCCTTGCGCTGTGAAGTCTAAGTATGAATCAACAACTCGCCCAAGTTCAAGCATCGCTATTCAAACATGGCGGGCCAGACAAACCGGAAGCAAGACTCGACTGCAGCGCTGCTCGTTCTCATGACCTCCACTGAGCCCACGTCGCAGGCAAAGCTGTGAAACGGAGCTTGCTTCAGTAACGTTGGTAGGGTGCTGGTGCTTAATCAGTATTAAACCAACATACGATTTAAGAAAACGAAGGTAAAAGAGGAAAGAAATGCAGCAGCAATACGTGTAAAGTATCCGAAGAGAGTACAACTGTTGACGATGGTAGCGGAGGAACAGCTAGAGTGACTTCATACACAAACGCGCTTCTGCTTGAGTGGTGACATCTCAGCCATTTTTCCGCCCAATCATTTTTTATGCATTTTAAAGTACGCGCATCCGGCGTCACTCAGCTCGAGCGCGTACCTTTGGCTATTGCATAGACGCCATTTTACCGCTTAAGTCGCGCACCGAGTCCGCCAGAGCTTCATGAGCTGGCACATTCAGGGCAACAATGGATGTCTTCACGCTGAGACAGACAGACATGTAGGCACCGTAGGAACAGCTTTAGGAACAGCTGAGATGCACCGCCGTCTCTCGAAGGCATTGCGAAGCAGAACGCGACCATGGTGGGCGCCGTCCGCCGACGAGGTCGTAAGTACAGAGGAGGTCGTGGTTTACCCAGCCAGCCCAGCAGAACGAGCGTATTGCACAGCTTCTTCTGAGCTCCCCAAGACCGGGTAGATACCGAGCCGTTTATGATGCTAATACCAGCACCATGAATGATGATGACGACGATAACAGGAAGCATTACAGGGTGACTGCGGCGCTACGTTTTTTGCACTGGACATGAATGCCCTGGAGGTGGCAGTCGTCTACTTTGACCGGGCCACCTCATGCAGCTCGCTGCCTTGACCGAAGCGAGCGAGCTCACTACCAGACCGAAGAGTCTGCCAGTGCGTTACCTTCTAAAACCTCCATTGAACAGCCGGCAAGGTCACTTCGGCTCGCTGGCTGACTCGCCTCAGACGTCCCCGGACTTCTGAAACTTTGGAAGCGGTTTTCTCTATGATCAGAACACGTCGCCCTCATCTTGGATATTATATCGTCACATAATCACCATCATCTGGATGCAGCACCGCGAGCCTCCGTGGTAAGGGCTGTTGCTATTCTGCGTTGCCGCGGCTCTCCAGAACCAATATTAATAATGATTGATAATGTTATATACTAATGAAACGTTAAATTCGTGCACGCGGTTTGAAGCTCGTGTTTTCGCTAAGATTGCGAAGGTTCAGTCCCGCGAGCGGGTAACTATAAGCGATTCAAGTGCCGGTCAGCTGACGCGCTGGCTCTTGTAGTGTTTTCTTTCAACCAGCCTTTGCTAAGGTGCGATTTCTAACAAGTCAGTCCTGATCAATGAGAACGAATAAGGCAAAAAATTCCACTGCGGCTGAAGGGCCGAAACCGTGAACGCCCTGGTGGCAGCAAAGTTAGAGCGAGACGGAGTGCCAGTAACACTTGAGAGAAACGCGAAAAACGACAAAACGAAAACGACAGGTAAAATTAAAGGAACAAAGGTATCACAAAAGAAAACAATGTAATTTGAAGTCCAAAGCGAATTACGAGATTAAAGTACTCAAACCCCTCTTACGTCTTGTTCAGTAAATTTATTAGCGAACGAATAACGAGCATGGTCTTTCGCCGGTTCGGACTCGCAAAGAAAATGGTATTTTCGGGACAGAAACTTTACTGAGACTCGTCTTTGACTCGCCATTGTCTTTTGTTCAATATGACTGGACGCGTAGTTCAGCTGAAGACAATCAGGCGTGCATTTTTATATTTTTTCGGTTTTCAATGAGAAAACACTCGGGTTTCAACATACGTCTTCCTGAAAAAAGTAATGTTTGTTGTGGTGGGAAGCAACGACTATAATTCACGCGAACAGGCGCCTTTTTGTCTTGGCAGGAAGCCAAGCAAGCTGGACGATGATTATTCTTACCCTTCACCAGCGCCACCGAGATGGAGAAACAGCTTCGATCATTTTAGTGTCCTTCATCTCAGCATATCCCCACGAATGGAATGACCGGAGGAGACATTTCCGCGCCAAGAGTCTCGGGGGCCACAGCATTGCGATCCCCGTTTTCGGAAAAAACGACAAAAAAAGTACATCCACGTTTGCGTTTTTGTTACTTTTTGTAGAAGTATCTAGGTCAGTGTTATTGCCTGCGAGTATATGTGGATGACACTTGCAGGTATATATGTGAAAAGTGAGAAAAAAAAGTTAGAACCCAAAATTATTGCATATGGTTCCTTCAAAGAGGAAATCCAGCGTCTAGCTTATTCCCTATGTGTGTGCGAGAACAGAGAATATTAGCTTTGTGGAACTCGAACCCAGAGGCCTTTCGTGGTCAGTCCTAAGCAGCGGCGAGACGGCGAATCCGCGTCGAATGCCTCTTTAGGGGCGTGAAGCACAGCCCGACCAGCGAGGCTAGAGGACCTGCAACAACCTCGCAGACGAACGCCGCGACAGCCAAGCCAAGGCCGACGGCCAGGAGCACAAATACGGAGCTGATGTGGTTGAACTGGAGGGTGTCCAACTCGCCCGTGGTTTCCTTGGGACATTGGGAGAGGTCGCCCCCTCGGGTCACCATGTCCGCGTGCCACTTGTTCATCAGGCCGGTCTCTTTTACCCATTTCAGCCTGAACAGGAAGTACAAAAAGCAACGGCTATTTAATCAGTGACATTTACGGCGGCTCTCAGAAGTATACAGTATTCTACAGCACAGCGTTTCAAAAGACGGCTTTCCTGGAACGCGTTGCTCTTAGGAGTAACGGAGGAACGCACCATCTTGCTTTGGTGGAACTGAAACGGGAGCTCGTTACGCTTTCGATGGCTGTTGGAACGGCCTTCCATTTTCGCCTATTTATTTGCCGCCTTCCTCGAATTTAGTAATAATTTGGGCTTTTTTTTTTAATCATCGACTATTTCATCCTCTGATTTGAATGGAGAAGAAAGTGTCAGTGAAATAGTAAAAAAACTTAACAAATGTGATTGTGGCCACACGACACGTAGTTTGATATGTTCACTTATTTGCCTTAATAATTAATGCGTTAGCACGAGTACCCACATGACAGGGGGAACCTGACGGCGTCCGTCTGTCGACAAAACAATCGAAAGGGAAGCGCGCCGCGTAGAGAGCAGGAGAGTAGTGAAGAACAAAGGCGAGAGGGAGGCGACGTCACAGGGCGGAAACCAATAAGCGCGCGGGAAACCAGTGAACAGCGAAAGCAGCGTCAACCAGTGGATGCCGCTGCTAAGCGTGCAAGGCAGGCGGACGAGACGGAGAAGCGGAAGTAGCGCCTAGCCCGGCTGGCCGAAATGCGGCGCAAGACGGAGGTTTGGGAGAAGCGGACTCGGCGAGCGCGCTTCGCCGAAAAAATAAAAGAAGATCCACTGATGGAGCCCTAGGGAATGAGTGCGCATGAGCCTCGGGAAACGCCACAGACGTCCTTTGGAAAAGGCTAGCACAGAACCCCGTAACGAAGCCAAAAAGAAGGAGCAAACAATAGAAGAAGCAAAAGAGAGAGCCAAAAAAGTGAAAGCCGTTTACAACTCCCTGTAACACCGAATTAGAGCGCAGCTCTTGAGGAGGAGGAGGGAAGGGTACTGGGGGGTGAAGTGACCTGGGGGGGTCACGTGACCTTGGGGAGTCACTTGACCATGCCGATGATGTCATCAGTGACGTCACTGATGACGTCATCAGTGACGATGACGGTGCGTACTCCGATGACGTCATCAGCGATGATGACGATGATGATGCGGATGTCGGTGACGTCATCTGTGACGTCACTGATGACGTCATCTGTGACGATGACGATGCGGATGCCCCCCGAAGTCACGTGACACCCCCAGGTCACGTGACCCCCGCCGAGGTCACGTGACCTCCCCGATGACGTCATCGTCACTGATGACGTCACCGGCATCCGCATCGTCATCGTCATCATCACTGATGACGTCATCAGTGATGATGACGATGACGATGCGGATGCCGGTGACGTCATCGGGGAGGTCACGTGACCTCGGCGGGGTTCACGTGACCCTGGGGGTGGTCACGTGACCTGGGGGGGTCACGTGACCTCGGGGGGTCACGTGACTTCAGGGGGGTCACGTGACTTTGGGTGTCACGTGACCTTGGGGGTCACGTGACCTTGGGATGACCTTGGGGGCCACGTGACCTTGGGATGACCTTGGTTACGCCGACGCCGACGGCGACGGCGACGGCGACGCCGACGCCGCTCAAGCCGGGAACGGGCCCCTAAGAGCTGCGCTCTAAAAGGAAAAGTGAAGTGGTCAGTGCTAGCTTGTTCCAAAGGGAGACGTGAGTGGCGTTTCCCAAGGGTCATGCTAGGGCCACTAAATAAGCTACGCTTTCAGAGTAGCGCATTCCTTTTCTTTGGCATTTTTCCGGCAAAACAGTCGCCCTATTCAAGAATATTCTGGTTCGCTGCGGCGTTATTGGACACCGGCAGTCACGTGAGTCACTATCATTATCATCGCGTTTTCTCAACGCCACCATCTTGGGTCCGGCGGTTCTCTGCCTGCTGGTGTGTACTTTTTACTGCGCGCGTACGCAGAAGTCCGTCGCTCAGCACGTGCATTATCCGTGTTACGTCGAGATACGAACAACACAACCTTGATACGCTGCCACAGCTGCGGCTGCGGCACCTGGCGAAGGCGACGGCTACAGCTCGGCTTGGCTCGGCTAGAGTCACTCCTCCATCTGCGCGTGCACCCAAGATGGCGGGGCCTGACGCGCTTCAGACGCGCAGTTTGGGAGTTTCGGTCCTCTGAGAGTGTAGCTTTATTTAGTGACTCTAGGTCATGCTAACGCGTTCTCTAAAACCGTGATCAAACTGTTTATACATCATACCAAAAATAGTCTGTATATATACAGATTCCAACGCAAGTCACCGCGAGATCGTGCTTTTAATGCCGCATGGCATTGAGTTCGACGAGAACACTCGGCACGAAGCATTCGAACTACGGATATTACCGTGACTCGTGTTGGCAGACTGTCGTTTGTATGATGCATGATCAGTGTGACCCCGGCCTAAGGATATGCCGATGAATTTTCTTTTCATATTTATCAGCGGATTATTTGGCACAATATTTAATTAAAATATGCAAACTTAAGGTTCTTTAACGACCATTGGGAACAACTGGGAACTTGTAACGGGGACTTGTTATAAGATTGCAAAGAAACAAGGCAGGAGCTTTCGGGCCTGTTTTAGAGAAACGTCTACAACACCCATATTGGAAATTCTAGTTTGTACGAAAAATTTATGTGTTTAATAAACACATATGAATCATACAAGATATATAAGAACATATAAGAACCATATAAAAACTATAAAAGAACTATATAAGGACTATATAAGAGATATAAGAACACAAAAGCGCATATAAGAAACTTGTGAGAAGTTCCCCGTAGGTTTCTATGGTTGTTATATATCTTATATGGTTCTTATATAGTTCTTATATGGTTCTTATATGTTCTTATATATCTTGTATGATTCATATGTGTTTATGGGACACAAGACATTTCTTATTCAAATGACTTTTTTCACTAGGAACTGGACGAATATCCCTATCAAATTATGAAGCAAATATTTCGAAACGGTGCTTCCCTATGGGTCTAATTACGTGCAGCGCGAGAGGGGAACCTGGAAGACCTTTTACAAATGGCTATTAATTAACACTCAAGGCCACCATAGTATGGGTATCGGATCGTAGTGCAAGGCGCGGAAATGAATCCCAGTTTGCGCCGAGCACTGGCGCTGCTCCGGAGTCGAATTGAATTGTAACGGATTGCATTCCGAAGGTTGACGCTGCTCCCGTGTCCAATGCGTGCCAGCACTGAATGCCCAAGGCGTGCTTTCCTCGGAGACCAGCACAGTGTTTAGAAACAAGCCTGGTCTGTCCGCCCCAGGTGCGGGCGCTGCGTGTGCTCAGGGAGGAGTGACGCGTCTGCGCATGCGCAGGGCCGACAGCTACACCGTCACAGTAGGGTGACGTCAGGGAGTTGATCTGGTCTACACCTATTGGAGGGCGTCTACTCTTGAAAAGAAAAACGACTATTTTTTCTTAATGGAGCGAGCTAAATTATCGTGAACAAACGACACGTCTGATGCAAGAACAAAGAAGCAGGTTCGTCTCATACAGGGGGATTTCCCCAACTAAATTTAAACGAGAGAACGCCTAGGGGTAATCTGTTTATAGGACCAGAACAAAGTTGAGTCGTCAGATAGGAATTCAGCACCGAGGCGAAGTGATAGCCCGCGAAAGCTGAAATGGTGATCTGCTATTTCACGTCTGAATTGATTGCCTGCCTTTCCTTTCTTTGCAAATCTACAGTTGCGCGGCTGCCAAACATCGACCGGCATCTACCGGTTGATGAAGAACAACTCAGAAAAGTACATGAAGGGCAGCGAAACCCTTTGAAACACCCAACATTCTAAATGTCTGGCAGAAAAAAAACGTGTTTTTCTCAATGAAAAAAAAAAAAATTACGTATCGCCGGATGTTCAGACTCCGTCCAAATATAGTCAACGGTTGGTACCTGATGCCAAAAGTTTAGTATTTATCGTTATCTAAGTGAAAAAGTTACGAGCCATTTTAAAACGATTTTGACTGAGAAAATGGCGACAACGAAGCTCGCGAATACGACATCAGCTGTAGGAAATGGGCTCCATTTTCTCATTGAATATTTCCGAAAATTACCTATAACTGACGAACTAGGTAACGGTAAGCACTAAATTTATGCCATCTCCTCCCAACTAGAGCCCCTCTATGTGGCAGTTTTAGTTGCCAGGGTAGCGACACGACGCAAAAAGCCCTCTATGCACAACGTCAGAAGCGCCAAGAGTGATCCCCATGCAGGGCAGAGAGGTTTCCATGTTAACCGAGCTGCTAGCGGTGCCTGGCGGCTTCTTTACCAGTATGAATCGCAAAAGGGAGTAAAAGCCACATAAAAGTGAGGTTGGCACACCCGCACGGGCATATCTTAACTTTTGAACGCCTCACTTTCCCTATTTTCAACGCACGCAGAGACGCCCACTGACAATTTGAACTTCGCTCTACTCGGGAGACGGAAAAAGCAGAACGACAGGTACACGGGTGGCGATCCGAAACATCCCAACTCTACTTATTTATTTATTTATTTATCGTACATACTCTCAAGCGCCGAAGCATCGTAGAGGGGAGGGTCAAAGCAAACAAAAATAAAGCAAACTGACGAAAAAAAACATTCGGGAAGAAATTTTAATGTAAAAAAATACACTGCGATTGGCAAAAGTAGTAAGCAATATCTGTTACGAACAAAATAAACAAAATGAAATCACTCATGTTGGCTCATCAAACAGATATGTAAACAAAAATTGGCGAAAAATAAAATAATCGGGTATAGTTGCGATATCTGCTGGAAGGTGGTTCCAGTCGTTTGATGTATGCGGGATAAATGAAAAAAAAAAGTGTTTGTTTGGCAACGTGTTAATCCAGCTTTATTCAGATGGTCCAGACGGGAAGAGTAATAGTTAGACAATGTAAAGAAATGGTCTCGCAGCGACTGATGATGATACACTGTATGAAACAGGCAAAGGCGAAAAAACGTTCTGCGCAATGACAAAGAGGGTAACAACAA